GAGGTGTGTTCAAAAGTAAGGTGACTTTTCAAATTTCGCGGGCAACATATTTTCGATTATCGTTTTTTTGTTTTGTTATATTGGTACACTCTTCCCCAACATCTGTACCAAGTTTCAATGGAACATCCTCTTTGTTTGGTTGTGAGAGGCGTAAAGGTACAAGTTGTTTTGCGAGCTCGGCGATTTTTTGCTATCGAAAAATATGGATCAAAGGATTTGCATCAAATTTTGTGTAAAAAATAAAATTAAGTGCTCTGAAACACTTGAAATGTTGACAGTGGCATACGGTGAAACTGTTCTGAGTAAAAAAAAATGTGTACAAGTGGTACAAACTCTTCCAAGATGACCGGGAAGATGCCAATGACCAGCCTCGCTCTGGACGCCCAAGCACGTCAACAACTGATGAAAACGTTCAAGCAGTGACGAAAATTGTTTTGGAAAATCGTCGAATCACTATCAGAGAAGTTGCTGAAGATGTCGGTATATCGCTTGGCTCGTGCCATGAAATTTTTCAAACGTTTTGGGTATGAGTCGTGTGTCAGCGAAGTTTGTTCCGAAATTGCTGAATTTTGAGCAAAAGAACCGTCGCATGAGCATCGCTCAAGAGCTGTTGAATGACGTCAACGACGACCCAGATTTACTCAAAAGGGTCATAACTGGTGACGAATCATGGGTATATGGTTATGATATCGAAACCAAAGCCCAATCGTCCCAATGGAAGAGCCCAGACGAGCCAAGACCGAAAAAAGCAAAAAATCGCCGAGCTCGCAAAACAACTTGTACCTTTACGCCTCTCACAACCAAACAAAAGAGGATGTTCCATTGAAACTTGGTACAGATGTTAGGGAAGAGTGTACCAATATAACAAAACAAAAAAAACGATAATCGAAAATATGTTGCCCGCGAAATTTGAAAAGTCACCTTACTTTTTGAACACACCTCGTATATATTCCTGCAGTTTAATGACTCGGATGGCACACTTTTAAAGAATTCGTTTGTGCACTTTTCGAGATTTTCAATTATGAATTCACGGAGAGAAAGAGAGAGAGAGAGAGAGGGGAAAGAAGAGAATACAGAATATACAAAGTGGCCGTATTATATGTAGTCTGCTTAGAGGCGCCAAGGAAGCTAAAATAAACTCGCGTGCATTGAGCCCGTAAAGCAAATTCTCCGACTGACTCTGACCATTGCACAGTGGGAGAAAAGACTATAACCTTCTTATTAACAATAAATATTTTTTCTCAATAGGAACAATATGGCGGAGAAGTAATCTTACTAAATAGAGTGATTAAAACCGCTGAGTTGTCGCAGATTAATCGATCTGGAAATCTACGTTAGCTATGTAGGTTCTTATAGAAATCTCTTATGTGACAATATAACTAATTATTTTCAAATTTCCTAAGAAAGAAAAAATGCAATGTATAACTCCTTATAAGTATGCTACATATATGTCTTTCAGCAAACCGGCTCAATTTTTTTAATATTTTAAAGAATTTGTAAAATATAAAAAACTATTTTTCTGATATTACTATGAATTCATCCCAGAGTATTCTGTATTGATTTTGACTAGCACCGTCTTCTCTCACTCCATTGCAGTTTTTGGTGAAGCAGACGAACAAGCATCAGCCACAGGATGCAAAGCAGTGCTGGCGGAGCGGCAGGGGGTGGCAATTACGAAGATGTAGCCGCTGCCCGCCGTGGCCGCTTCCGTGTCACCTCCTCCACGCCACAGGGTCCGCCAGAAACGACGCTTGGCCGCTTCCGTCTTATGCCCACGTGTAAGTTTGCCCAAACTATAAGCATACCCTTTAATATACTATTATTGGGGCGTAATAGAACCACAATATTAAAATTTTAGATTTAATTTATAGCCTAATTTTTTGGCTAGGGGTTAGGAAAGATATATTTATGTTATATTAATTATAAGAAATGGCTAACGATTTAAGAACGAAGATTTAAGATTCTAGTACTGGGTATCATTTGTTCTGTATCTCGATTTAAAGTTCCTAGCTGCTAATAAGCGACCTGTTCTTTCACCATTGCAGCCAATTATGGCGCCATTTCGCCAATCCTCCAGCGGGGTCGATTCGCCGTGATTCCAGAAGAGCCTCAAGCTGGTTCCCCCGCACTAGGAACTCCACCGCCAGGCAACCGAACGGCTCGTTCTCCATCGCCTGAATGGGATTTCGACATTGAACAGGTGAGTGTCCAAGAAATATAAGTTTATATTTAAACAATAATAAATCAAATTAGCTGAATACCACAGCTAAGCTTAAATATCTGTTAATAAAACTCATAAAAATAACGTTTTAAAAAAAATTTAGTATTCTGGTTCGGTATTCAGGATTTCGAGAGTCTACAATTTTAAAAAATGCATTTTTCTGAATCCCAAATATCAGTGATCCAAGCAAACTTAAATTTTAAATAGCTTAGCCTTGAATAATTTTGGGAATCCTGTAAATCAAACTGAAGTTTGTGGGTGGTGGAATATTCAGTGACTCCGATTTCGTCTACTTTGCTGTTTCTGGTGGCGTCATTGTGTGCTCCTAGGGTGGCCTCAATGCAATGCGCCATTTTTATCGATTTTCTTAACTTAGCTGAAGTTACAAAAGAGTTTGGTTGGGACCTAAAAGTGTGAACGCCATGCCAAGGCATATTATTTATGAGGCATAAATTCTACTTTTAGTCTTTTAATATAATATTATAAAATACCTAGAAGTTAAGCTGTAGAAAAAAGGTAGGTCGACTTATACTGAATTTATTTCAAGTAAGATCTATTCTCTCTTTTTCTCTTTATATTTATGTTATTGTTTATAGAAGACATTTTTTGAGGTCACTTAATTGCTTTATTCAGAATTGTGAATTTTTCCCATTTAAAAGAAAAAAATTTTGGCGCCAAGCAGCGGCGTTGCTTGACAAAAGCTGCTTGATTGCGAAAGGTCACCCTTATCTGGCAGCGCCATCGAACTCAGTGTGGCCGTAGCAATATCATGACTGTTTTTTTCAGATATAGCAGTCGAATTTCCGTAACTCAACAAAAGTTTTTAACATTTCGCATTAAGAGACTTCGTGTTCATTTAGATAATTTAATGATTTTAATTAATTTTAAAATATGTTTTAAATTAAATCAATGTTTTGATTTTTTTCGTTGGAATTTTTATGAATTTTGAATTTTTAAATCTGTTAAAATACCAAAATGAGAAAAAATCTAAAACTAAATTGAAAAACACCAAATCAATTTTTTAGATGAGGTTATTTTAATTCCAATACGACAAAATAAAGATACAGTTTCTTAACTATTGGAACTTGGAAATATTTTTTTAGCCGAAATATTGGTAATTAGATAAGCAGTTGGAACTTGTTTCTACTGAGTGTTTCTATAATCGTATATACTTTTACAGATAATAAATTGTAAACCATTGCAAAGGCTAAACATCGGTTTTTTTTTAATGATGATTAAGCTTTCAAACAATTATGAAATTTATTATAGAATAATAAATAACTAAAATATGAATCATTTAATATTAATAAATAATAAATTTAAAAAAATGTGCATAATGATAGCTTAAAGGTATTTTGCTATGAGTAGGTAATACTCATGCCTAGACTGGTTGATATTTTGTATCGTTATCGTAACGGTCACACTGTTTGGTTGAGAACTTTGGTGAAAACGCAGCGGATTACGACCAGGTTGGGGAAAAACTGTTAGCCCGCCGTAAACTAGTGCAGTGAAAAAATTGTTTAAATAAAAACGTTAAAAATAAAAACTTATTGGTAATAAATATTA